AAAAACTTTATTATTTTTTTCATTGTCCTACATTATTACCAGGTCTCAAAGTGACCTCATCATCTGCACTATTAGATAGTTGCTGATTGGCTTCATAAGATAGTTGTTAAACGGATGAAGTTGTTGTGTTACCACCTCCTCCAGCTGGATTTTCTGTATTATCATCTTCATTACGAGATAGTGATTTCGAACGTGTACGACTCCTTTGATTGCTTCGACTTCTTTGGCTAGATGATCTCTGGCTTAGTGCCCATTTAACCTCCTCAATAGAAGGTGCTGGTGAAGAACCTCTCCTATTACGTTTGCGGTTGGAAATATTCATATTACGGATTCTATCGAATGGATCTTTAGGTCTTTCCCAAAAATGAGAGCAGAACTCGTCAAAATATCTAGCTTCTGCCTGACTCTTTCGAGCTGTTCGACTTCCATTCATATATTTACACATCGCCTAGTCATCAAAGAGTGTAAAAGGATATTTAGGATCTACTTGCACTTATATAATGTCCATTATCATTTACACTTACATTATAGTCCTGAATAAGATTCCTGAATTTTTCCTTACAATGGTGTCCCAAGAAATTAGAACCAAGCTCTTCATTAATTCTAGTCGCAATAGTTTCTCAAAATACATCTCGATTTCTTCCCAAATTGTGATATTTTTCATTTCTATTTCTACGCTCGTCAATAAGGATACGGGTTTATGCATCAGTCCAGTTAACCATTTTCTAAATAATCGAAAGGCTATTCACCTGAAAAAAAATTATTTTTTGTATAGCAGGATATGGAATGCTTTTTATAAGTACTTACATAGACATCAACCTGAATACAACTCAACATTATCCATTCATCTGCTGTTGATCGAAATTTACTATGTTTTTAATAGTGATTTCTTCAACCATACATGTGAATGTCCTGTAACAATCACTAAGAGTTCTTGAACTACTCTCTAACTCCACTTTAACCCAACTTGTTTCTCAGTACCTTACGATCAATACCTGATATAGAGAATTATCCTACAATCTGATTGCTTGAGCGATCATCATGGCTAAAACCAAGGAGTGATTATCATACTCCTAATCATATGAAAATATTATTGCTTTTTTCTCACTAGATTCGAAAAAAAGAAGCTAGGCTTTCTTCTGCAGAAGCCTTCCTCAATCACAGATTTCAGGATTATCTCCCGCAATCCTTGAATAAGGGAGGGGTGATCACTTCTCCAGATTAACTTTAGTCGATCTGCTTGGGAAATCGGAATCTGGAAAATCTATCGATAATGGTTTGTTATTATCACTTTTTATTAATTTTACGAGATTCTCAAGCTCCTCTAGACTATTCATTAGTGCTTAGGTTGGTTCTATCAGATTGGGGGAAATAAGGAATGAGGAATCATGATTAAGCCGACTCGTTTCTGGCTGATCCTTTTGAGACTGCTCTTCTTTTTTATTGCTTTTCATTTCTTATCTGCAAAAAAATATTAATAAAAAAAAATATGAATTATATCCTAGAAATACCTGAACTACTTGAAGCTATCTTTGCCTTTCTCAGTCGGAAAGATCTTTATAGGAGTTGTGCCAGAGTAAATCATCAATGGAATGCTGTATCTAAGCTTATTATTCGGAAAAAGAGAAAAGCTGAGTTTATTAGTATTCCTGGCATTCGTGATAATATTATTTTTCACCTATATGATGATCACCTCAGTTTAACCGAAATTGTTAACTATTGCAAGGTTAGTGATATATGGAGTAATATTCTTAATCAGTTAAGTGCAAGGACTATTTCTCTTTCTATGTTATATCACCATAAAGCTTTCTTAAATGCTTTTCGCTATAGTAGAAAGCGATTTCTTTATAATAAAAAATGATTTATATGTTATTTTACAAGACGTAATATGCAATATTATTTAAAACAGGACCATGAACTAAACAGGTACTATCAGGATATCTATTCATTTTATGAACTAAGGGATGAATTTCATAGACTGGCCAGAGTTTGCCGGTCCTATGACTATAAGCCAAATACTGAGGACGAATTTCGTAGGATATCCAGAGTTTTTCAGTCTATTAGACATTAACTGAATATTTATTACATCATAAAAAAATAATATAATAATGTATGTGATCTGACTACTCATCACTATCTAGTTTATGCCTGTAAGCTAGATATGTGAGATGTACACTCATTTTGATATTTCTCTGAGAGCTTGGCCCTCATAGCTCTTTTTTCAGCCTCTTCATGTGGTATATCATTTTTGACCATATTCTTATAAATTATATTGCGCCAATGCCCATATGGTAAAGTAGTTATCCCGTCTGTTAATATCCAGCGCTTAGTATCTATGGGACAGAGAGCCTTCTTCTCAGATTTGACCAGAGATAATATGTGATCCTTTGATCAGATACCTACATTCTTTGCATAGAATACTTCCTTACCAAAGAGACAGTCCCGATATATTAATGTCATAAGATCGAAAATTTCAGATTGATCTACTGGATCATCTAGCAAAGTTCCCCCTAAGGATGGAAAGTATGTATCAGTTGCCATTTCACCCATACCTTTTTTACTAACCCCTTATATCTAGAATTCGTGGTCTTATCTGCCAAGATATAATGGTAAGATTTGGCTCAGATATGATAGGATTCTGTGATTACATTATCTGGGGTTTCATCCTTAAATTTTCCAACTGATTGATCTCTATTAAGATTAAAGAGATCAGATCACTCAGCCATATCTTTATAGATGTCCTTAGTTTCAGTTTGAAATATGAAGGAGTCTGTATCCATATAGCCAAGCTGGGATTTATCTCCATATTTCTCCTTCACATATTCATACCAGAATTCGTACATATGAAGCTTGCTAAGTCCTAAAACAGATGCTCTAACTATGATAAGCTTGTTGAAAGTTACGCTAGCCTTTCCCATATGCGCTCCTATTAATGTAAGTCCAATTGGTCTACTATACTTAAACCTAGGACTGTGAACCTTTTTCAAGAAAGCTTTTTCATCTCGTTTATTATTATTATTCTTCATAATCTTGACATCCTGGTACTTGCGAACATTCTCCATAGTCTTGCCATATACTGATACATTCATAAGTTTGAAAAAGTCACTCAGAAATGTATTTCCAACTTTTTTAGCCTCATTATGTTTCTCAGTTATATATGGTTCAAGCTAGTTAGTCTGGTCGAAAGAGAGTATCTCTGAAACTTCATCTACAACCATACCTAATTTTACATAATATTGGAGCTCTTAGTAATGGATGACATAGCTCTTTCGTGGTCCAAGATGGGGGACTAATTTTTCTGTAGCAGAGAAGCGTCCATCATCTAATTGTTCTACAAGTTTAGCATTATAAGGACTTAACCAATCCTTTTCTACAGCGATATTTTCTACGGCTGGAGGCAAGTCTTTTAAATATTCATGAGTCTTTAGAGGGAAATGAGCATTAATATTTAAGAAACACTCTCGTTTAGCATCAGATTGTATATTGAAAATCTTTTCAAGATATTTTTTCTGCATAGTTGGATTTTTTAATAAATATTTCTGACTAGCTTCCCATTGATAATTTCTGATAGGCAAATATTGGCTCATAGAATATCCATAAAGATTTGTTGCGTCTATATATGAGATTTAGGATGTAGGTTTAGATGAATTAAATTCCTTCCCCATCTTAGGATTATTGGCCTTAAAATATCATTGACAGGCCATAGATATACCACCACGTTTAGCTTTTTCAGTAAAATCATGCATAGTCATATCTATGAAAAGTTCGATCCTAACTCCTGTCATCTTAAGCATTTCATCCCAGGATAGTGATAGAGCGGAAATATAGTGACTGGGATCAAGCTCATAATATTCCATAGACATTTTTCAAAACTCTGTCCAGATATCTGCTAGACTAAGTACGTCAGTCTTAAGATAGAGATTATGGTACTCATCTAAATTTTGACATCTGAATTCCTTCCATACTTTTTGAGCATGTTGGTAGTCATCTTGTGAGATCTTACCTTTAAGAGTACTATGAAATTCATGAATAGGAGGAAGTTCTGTCTCCTTAAATCTATCATGCGAATCGATGTAGTCATAGGGATAAACTCCTT